ATTTAGTTTTATTAGCCATCGTTTGGTCCAGTTTTCTATTGAATTTAATGCCAATTGTAACTTATTTGCTGCAACTACTTCATTTTCTGCAACAGCCAAGATCGCTGTGTCGTCTGCGAATGTAGCTGTTAAAGTTTCTGGTACCTGAGGAAGGTTGAATGTGTAGAGTAAGTACAATGTTGGGCCAAGCACACTTCCTTGAGGAACTCCGGCTCTTATTTCATGTATTGGTGAATAAGCGTTTTCGTATGTTACTTTAAAATATTGATCAGAAAGATACGATTTTAATAGTTGACTATACGTTGATGGTAGTATTTGGTCTAATTTGTAATTTAAACCATCTAATCAGACTTTGTCCAAAGTTTGTGCAACATCCAAAAATACGGCGGAGCAGACTTTATTTTCTTCCATTGCTATTTCGATAGTATTCGTTATTCTATGCACTTGGTCTATTGTTGCATGTTTATTCTGAAACCCAAATTGATGTGTTGGTATTAGGGCTTTTTCTTCTATGACAGGTTTTAGTCTTTTAATAGTAATTTTTCAAGCAGTTTTGATAGTAAGGGTAATAATGAGATTGGTCTATACAGGTGTCCCGAAACTCAACGCCAAGCGGGCACCGGGTGAGAGGTCAACCCATACCTGTTCTGGTAAAAATAAGAAAAAAATTCCATGTCTCTTAGTTAAGTGGTAATACACATATTTTTGAAAACGTTAAAAATCGGTCCTGTACATCATGTATTTAGGTACTACGGTCAGAAATGTTCACAATTTAATAGTGATTTTTTTAATAATGTATCCCTTATGAACCATGCTACTGTAGAAGTCACAAATCAAACAACAAAAATCGTTAGTTTTGCAAGAAAAAGTATCAGTTTGATTGAGTTAAGGTTGAAAGAATTTATGTCTATTAATCACAATCACTATTAAATGGCGAACATTTCTGACCGGAGTACCTAAAGATATGATGTACGGGAACGATTTTTAACATTTTCAAAAATATGTCGATTATTACTTAACTAAGAGACATAGAATTTTTTTCTTATTTTTACCAGAACAGGTATGAGTTGGCTTCTCACCCGGTGCCCGCTTGACGTTGAGTTTCGGGACAACCCTGTATAATGTAACATCTGTGGAGGGTTTACCAGGTTTTGGTATCATTATTATTTCAGCAACTTTCCATATACTTGAGAAGTATTTCTGTTTAAAAGCAGCATTAATTATGTGTAATAGTTTTGTAATCCCCCGTTTTGGTAGATGTTTACTGATTTCTTTATATTTAGTTTTTGTATTTCATAATACAGTTCTTTCATTCTTACACATGGTATATTAATCTGCTGATCACTTTGAAATACGCTAGGGACACTATTTAGCATAGTTATTGGACTGTCTGATGTAAAAGTTTCTTTCAGATGTTCAGCAAAATTAACTTTTTCTTGATTGCTCTTAGCCCAATTTCCATTATTATTTCGAATTGAAAGTGTATGTGTTTTTGGAGCTTTAAGCTTTCTTATTGCCTTCCACAGAGAATAATCAGTACTGGCATCGTCAGTAAGGTCTTTTAAGTAATTTTGAATATTATTTTCTTTGTGGCTATCTGTTAATGCTCTTAATTCGGCTGTTATTTTATTTAATTTAGTTTTATCAGTAGGAATTCTATTGGTTTGCCATTTCTTTCTTGCTTTCCGTTTTTCTGCAATTTTGTCTCTAATGAATTTAGGATAAATATTAGATTTAGGTTTTGGTGTTAAAATTGGTGTTGAGGCCCAAGCTGCGTTTTGTATGTCTTTTAAAAACTTTAATTATTATAGAAATGTTAGTTGNCATCGATCCATAGCGATACACACTTAAGCGGTGTTCAAGAATTTGTAGCTCTTAAACAAACAACAATAAAAATCCTCATGATCAAACACAAAAAATGTATTATACAAAGAAGCAGAAAATTTGAAAGAAACTGCAAGAAGGACGCCGGCAATAAAAGAAAAACAATGAAAAGTGTTTGGAAAAAGAGATAAATGTATTGGAGAAAGAAGAAAAAAACTGGGAAGAGAGCACTAACGCAAGAAATATATAGAACAGAAAATGAAAAAATAAGAATGAGACCGGTAATAGAAGGATGAGATACTTTTTCATGAAAAAGAGAGGCTGGAAACTGAAAAGTGACTGGTAATAGAAAAACAAAATTAAACAGA